TTCGTCTACAAAGCATCTAGCTTCTTGGATTATTTGCTCAGTATACAAATAGGCACAGAGAGAGGATATAATGCTGATGCACACCTTTCTTAGTGCTAAACCGTGTAGTGTTCCCTTACTCTATTTGCACAACAGCCTGTTGGGCTAGGTAAAGGTTTCATATGTGCACAATTAAGTGTCCTGGGGTTCCCATTCCTCTCAGGTTAACCATAATTTGTTAAAATCCACACAGTCAAATGCCTTTGTTAATAAAGTCAATAAAGCACAAACAGACATTTTTCTGGTATTTTCCGTTTTCAGCCAGGATCTATTTGACATTAACAATGATATCCCTGGTGCTATGGCATCTTCTAAACTCACCTCAAACTTCTGGTAATTCTTTGTCTATGTACTGTTCTTGTTGGTTTTGGATGATCTTCAGTAATATTTTGCTTGCATATGATATTAATGACATTGTTTGATAATCATATTGGGCCATTTTTTCTTGGGAATGGAAACAAATAGGTATCTCTTCCAGTCAGTCGGCCAGGCCACTGTACTCAAAATTTTCTAGCATAGACTGGTAAGCACGTCCAAGGTTGCATCTGTTAACTGAAACATGCCAATTTGTATCCCAATGATTCTCTGGGCCTTATTTTCTTTTCTGTCAATTCCTTCAGTGAAGCTTGACCATCTTACTTCATTATCATTGACTCTGGATCATACTTTCTGAAATACGTCAGTATCGGCCAGTTCTTTAGCACAGTGACTCTCGTGTATTCTCTCCACTATTTTTTTTAATGCTACCTAGATTACTCAATATTTTGCCAATAGCATCTCTCAGTATTGCAACTTGAAGCTTAAATTTGTTTTTCGGTTCTTTTAGCTTGAAAAATGTCAAGCAAGTTCTTCCCTTTTTATTTTCTGGCCTCTGCTCTCTGTTGATTCTGTTGTAATACTTTGTTTTGTTTTCTTAAGCTGCCCTTTGAAATCTCCTGTTCAGCTTTTTTGCCTCAGCACATCCTCCCTTTGTTTTGCTTCTCGATGCTCCAGTGCAATTTTCAGAGTTTCTTCCAACATCCATTTTGGTTTATTCTTTCTACTTTGTCTTTGTAATAATCTTTTGCTCTCTTTATAAATTCATAAATGAGTGTGTCATCTCACAACTCATTTGATCATTGATCATTGGTATCCAATATTTCAAAGCTATTCTTAAGATGATTTTTAAATTCGGGTAGAATTGACTCAAGATCATATTTTGGTTCTTGTGGATCTATTATTAGTTTTTCACCTTTAATCTGAACTTGTTGTTGTTATGTGCCATCGAGTCATTTGCGACTCATAGCGACCCTATGTACAACAGCCCTAAACCCTCCTCTATCCTGTGCCAATCGCACTGCCTCTGACACATCCATCCCGATTACCCCAGTCACTGAATCAATCCACGTCATAGAGGGTCTTCCCCTCCTGCACTGTCCCTCCACCCACCCAAGCATGATGTCCCTCTCCAAGGACCTGTCTCTCCTTACAACATATCCAAAGTATGTCAGACGAAGCCCCAGAATCCTTGCCTCCAAGGAGTAGCCTGGTTTAACCCTCTCCAGGATGAATCTGTTTGTTTTCCTAGCAGTCCACGGTACATTCAATACTCTTCTCCAACACCACATCTCAAAGTCATCAATTCTCCTTCTATCCTTCCAAGTCATTGTCCAACTCTCTGAAGCATAACAAGTGATAGCAAAGACCATGGCCTGTATCAGGTGCACCTTAGTCTCCAGAGAGACACCATTGCTCTTGAGTACTTTAGACAGGTCCCTAACAGAAGACTTTCCCACCGCAATACGTTTTTTTATTTCCTGACTGCTGGTGCCAAGAGTGTTGACCGTGGAGCCGAGCAAACTGAAGCTGTGAACAATCTCAATCTCTTTGCCATCCATCCTGATGCTACCGATTGGTCCAGTGGTGAGAATCTTTGTCTTCTTGACATTGAGCCTCAGTCCATACTGAAGGCTGCAGTCCTTGACCCTCTTCAGTAAGTGCATGAGGTCCTCCTCAGTTTCAGCAAGCAGGGTTGTGTCATCTGCATAATGCAGATTGTTAATAGATCTTCCACCAATCCTGATGCCACAATTCTCCTCATAGAGCCCAGCCTTTCGGATAATCTGCCCTTCATACAGGTTGAAAAGGTATGGAGATAGGACACATCCCTGGCGTACACCCTTTCCAATTTTGAACCATGCAGTGTTCCCTTGCTCTGTTCTGACGACTGCCTCTTGGTCCAAGTATAGGTTTCGCATTAGCACGATTAAATGTTCTGGGATTCCCATTCTTCTCAGAGTCAGCCACAGTTTGTTATGATCCACACAGTCAAATGCCTTTGCATAATCAATGAAATACAGATAGACATTCTTCTGGTATTCCCTGCTTTCAGCTAAGATCCATCTAACATCAGCTACAATATCCCTAGCACCACGACCCCTTCTAAACCCAGCCTGGACTTCTGGCAGTTCTCTGCTGATGTGCTGTTCCAGTCGTTTTTTGATAATCTTCAGTAGAATCTTGCTTGCATGTGAAAGCAATGATATTGTTCTGTAGTTTTCACACTCTGTTGGGTCACCCTTCTTTGGAATGGGAACAAATATAGATCTCTTCCAGTCAGTTGGCCAAGTGGTTGTCCTCCAGATTTCTTACTGAACTTACGCAGGAGTAATGCATGTTCTGTTCTGTGATCAGCACCTGGCCTGATTTTGATTGATACTGAGTTTCTCCAATAATTGCTTTGACAGATGTAATCAATTAGAGTCCTATGCAGTCCATCAGGTGAAGTCCATGTGTAAAGTCACTGTGTTTTTAAAAAAGGTATTTGTGATTAATAAATCTTTAAGTGTATAATATTTGATTATTCTAGAGGCACCATTAAAGCAAGGTCTGGGGATCTACTTGTAGAAACTTAGTCCTTGAAAACCCTGTGAAACTCAGTGCTGTGATACACAGGGTGTCACCATGATTAGATATCAACTCCTTGGCATCAGGTTTGAGCACCCTCATGTTCATCGTGGTTTCAAAGAAGATTATAAACACAATTGATGCAAGAGCTGAGATTTCTGCTTCGAGATGTGATTCGTACAAGGAGAGTTGCCACATGTGATAAGTATTTCTTGTTATTGGTACGTATCATCGAGTCGACTACAACTCATAGGAACCCTATGAACAACAGCTGAGCTTTGCTCTGTCCTGAGTCAACTTCAGCATCTCCTAAACACCTGATCCCGTTGCCACAGTCACTGTCAATCCATCACCTCCAGGATCTTCCTCTCCTGTGCTGACCCTCCCCCCTTCCAAGCATGATGTCCTTCTCCAAGGACTGGCCCCTCCTAACAACATGCCCAAAATATGAGAGCTTCAAAATCCTTGCCTCCGAAGAGCAACCTGGCTTCACTTTCTCTAGGACAGACCTGTTCATTCTCTCGGCAGTTCTTGGCATGTACAGCTCTCTTCTCTAACACCACAACTCAAATCCTTAGTTATGGTTCTGCTCTCAGATGCATAGCAAGCAATTCCATCAGGGGCACCTTTGTGTCTTTAGACTGACATTGTTGCTTGTTAGCATTCTGGAAAGGTCCTTGACTTAAATCCTTGACATAGTTCTCTGACTGGTCAAAGGCTTGGATTTGTGGGAAAACCAATCTACTCCAATGTTGTAAAGTAGTATATGTGGTCTGGAGAAATAAGTGCTTATGTTACAATCTCATTACTTTGTCTGAGTGTGCAAATGAATAGTTGAAAATAAGACACTGGCTTGTGCAAGCAAAATTGCCTTGTTAGATTTTGTGTAAATGGGTCTTCTGAACACCGTAGAGCCTTTGGAAATTACATACTGAAGAAGGCATTTGTCACCTGAGAAGAAGAACCTTGATCAGATGGATTGACAGTGACTGGGGTAATGGGGTATATGAGATTGGCTCAGGATAGGACAGAGTTCCTAGTTATTGCACATATAGGGTTGCTATGACTTGCAGGTGGCTCAACAGCACATAACTGGGCACCACAACAACAGCCCAGTTTTTCTCAGGCTATTTTATGCAGAGAACCAGCTCTGTTCTCAAAGTGCCCTGAGCCTCCCTGAGAAGACAAGCTGGTCTTTCAAGCTCTCTAGCTAGCCTCATCCTTGAAGGGTACCAGTGTTACTTGTTGATGCTTACCTGTTCCAGAGATGGCCCTCAGCTCGTCCACCCCAATCCACATATTCTCATTTCATTTAGACAAGTTGCTCTAGGAAGAGCAAATCTATTAATCTATAATGAAGCCAACTTGCTTCAAAACTTCAGCAAATAGGGGCTTAGATTGGTGAATGGGTCTTTGTTGAATTGTTCTTTAGGATCTTTTAGGCAAATGTGTTGTTGTTGGGTGGCTTTGTGTTGAATATGACTCAAAACAACTGCATATGACCTGTTAGAACTACACTATAGGGTTTTCAGGCCATAACGAAAGAGGGCTCAGGAGCCCATTTGTGGCGAGTTACGCTGCTAACACAAAGGTGGTTGGAGCTGCCTGTGGCTCTGAGGGAAAAAGATGGGCTGTCTCTCTCCATTGCAGTCTTGGGACTTTACAGCTTTGGAAGCCTGAGAAAGGGTTGCTGTGAGTCACAACCTGCTCAGTGGTCTTGAGTTGGTTTTTATATGTCACATTTTTATGGAAGCAGATTTCTCCCTCAGAGCTATTTGGTGGGTTTGAACTGTCAAACTTTCTTTTTTTTTTTTTTCAACTGTCAAACTTTCAGTTAGCAGTAAGCCCCTTGTTAAGCAAATGAAATGAATTTTAAATAATAGGTGGGATCAGTTGCTTAAGATCACTAGGTCATTAGTACATTGCAAGGGAGGTGTTTTTCTTTGGGGTTTATTTTGTTGTTGTTACTATTATTATTATTACTACTACTACTACTGTATCAGGGGTTGTTGGTTTGACTTCGGTTTTTTTCTTATGCTTGTGATTTATTGTCTAAATTTATTTTTCTATTGCAGGACCACCTGGCCCACCAGGTAAGCTCGAGTGGACTTTCCTGTATCATGGGAAGAAATGGTGACTGCCCCCAAGGCCCCATAGAAAGGACAGAGGTAGAAGGAGGAAAAACCTGGAGAACCCCCCAATAAGTCCCCACTATCTCAACCACAAGCTTGCCTCTCACCTCCCATCCTGCGACCTTACATCACCACCCTACCGCCTGTCACTCCTGGGATGGCAAGGAGGGGGCAGTAAAGGTGGAGAAGAAAGGAAAGAAGAAGGGATATGGAAAAGGCCCCAGAGCTTGCGAGCCACACGAACGTCAGTGCCTAGTGTGAACATGTCACTGTTTTGTGTCTTGACACAGGACCTCCAGGAGTTGATGGCATTCCAGGACACAATGGATCAGAAGGAGAGCCTGGTCCCAAGGGCCCAAAGGGCGAAAAAGGAACAAATGGGAAGAGAGGAAAAATGGGTATTTTGGTGGTTCTTCTCATTTCCTTATCTGATGTTTGTCTCCTTGGTTGCGTTTTTGAAGGGCTAACGCAGTGGGCTTTAGGTATTTCATCTCAGCATGGAATGCGGCTTCATCTCTTCCCCCGAAGGCACTGGGTCCTGGGATACCATGGACATCTTTTTTTTTAATCTCCCCCCTCTTTTAGTGAAAATATACACAACCAAAGAGATACCATTTCAACAATCTCTACATACATAATATTCCTCAAATTATGCTACTGTTCTCACTATCCTTTCCCACATTGTTCTTACCATTATCTTAAACTCACTGCCCATAAACTTTCCATCTGACCTCTTGAGTTGCTTGTGTTGATCTGATGTCTTGTTGATAATTCTTTCAAAGAGAACAATGCTCAAAGTAGATGTACTTCACTGGTTAAAATAAGCCATGTGTTGGTTCAAAGACTTCAAGGGATAATTTGGGTTTAAGGTCTAGAGTGTAAAGAGTATCTCAAGTCAATAGTATTGGGGTCCCATCCCACTTCAGTGTCTCCAGGAAGTCTAGAGCCATGAGAACTTGAAATTCTGTTCTGAATTCCCCGCCCGCCCCCCCACCTTGGATTAGCTTTCTTCTAGAGACCCTTTGGTCAAAATGTTTAATAATGGTAGCCGGACAGCGTCCAGTTTAATCTCAAGGCAAAGGAGGCAGCTGTTTGTTACAGGTGACCATTCAACATCAGCAAAGCTTTCTTTCAACTGTAGATGTGGTTTCCCTGATTCCTACCATTCTGCTTGCTCTGCTTCAGAATAATAGAGAGAAGGGGCAAGAAGGGGAGCACTGGGAGGGATACAGTCTGCTGTGGATTGCGGGACAGCTGTAGAGGCTGATACTTTGAATTACTCCAAGGTTTAGTTACATCACTTGCTTACATCACTTCCTCCTTCCTTTGTTTGATTGAAAATTCCTGGGCTGATGTTGCATCCAAGCAAAAGGAATGGAGCAGAAAGGCTGTCTTTGACAGCCCTCAAAGGGGCTCCCCAAAGGCAGAACATAGCAACCTTTCCCCAAAGTTGGCTCTGCAGCTGTCAAGGTCTCCGCTGCGGGGTGTCAGGATTGTTACAAAGATGTCTTCTGTCCTCATGTGAGTGGAGCATTACCAGTGTCTGAGCCGAGCAGTACCCAAGTGCCCCATGTGTGCAGGGAGAGCCAGACGTACAGCGCTCAAGTAGGGGCCTGTGTGGAGGAAGGGCTGCGGCTGGAGGGACAGATGCTGGGGCGACAGTGAGAAGGACAGGCCGAGTCACCTGAAGAGAGCTGGCACATGGCAGAATGACGTGTTGTCACCTCTCAAGACCACTGCTTGGTGGCAGGAAAGGGTTCTTTTTATCCAGACACCCCAGCACACATGATGTCTTATCAGCTTCTTGCCTCTCGGGCCCAAACTCCCCTGGATAATCCTCAAGCTAAAATAAATAGTAGAAAACTTTACAGGTAGCATAGTTACCCCTTCGAGGACTTCTGCTTTTATTCCCACAAGCAATTTCAATGAATCCAGAGGGAAGGAAGGCAACTGCAGAGCACTTTGGTCACTTGGAAAAGCCCACCTGCTTGTGCTCCCGAAGCAGCTTCCATGGAAATGCACTGCACACAGCACAGGCCAGCCCAGTGTGCACAAGGCCAGCAATTACAGTCAGAATTATGTAGGAGTGATGCATCATTACGTGTAGGATAATAATTATAATTATAAGTGGACTTAGCGCAGAATAATGATGACTCAGTGTGCAGACCTTTGGTTTATCCTGGGAAGACTCAAAAAACTGTGATCTCATTATAAAGACTCTGCAGTGAGTATTATGAGGTCTTGCTCGGAACTTAAGAAGAAATTCAAGCCTCGAGTTGCAATACTTAAGGATGCTTTGGGCAGAATATTAAATGATCCTGCAAGTAGTAAAAGAAGATAGAAAGAGTATACAGATTCATTATACCAAAAGGAATTAGCAGACACAGAAGAATTTTATGAAACAACATATGAGCAAGAGCCTGTGGTGATGAAGAAAGAAGTTCAAACTGCTTTGAAAGAATTTGCTAAAAATAAGGCCCCAGGAACTGATAGTATACCAGTTGACGTATTTCAGCTAACAGATGCTGCCCTAGATGTGCTCACCAAGTTGTACCAAGAAATCTGGAGAACAACCACTTGGCCAACTGACTGGAAGAGATCTTTATTTGTTCCCATTCCAAAGAAGGGTGACCCAACAGAGTGTGGAAATTATCAAACAATATGCAAGCAAGATTCTGCTGAAGACTTGAACAGCACATCAACAGAGAACTACCAGAAGTGCAGACTGGGTTTAGAAGGGGTCGTGGTACTAAGGATATGATAGCTAACGTTAGATGGATCTTGGCTGAAAGCACAGAGTACCAGGGGAATGTCTATCTATGCTTCATTCATTATGCAAAGGCATTTGACTGTGTGGATCGCAATAAACTGTGGCTGACTCTGAGAAGAATGGGAATCCCAGAACACTTGATCATGCTAATGTGAAACCTATACTTGGACCACGAGGCAGTTGTCAGAACAGAGCCAGGGAACACGGCATGGTTCAAAATTGGAAAGGGTGTATGCCAGGGTTGTATCCTATCTCCATACCTTTTCAATCTCTATGCAGAACAGATTATCTGGGATGCTGGGCTCTATGAGGAGAAATGTGGCATCAGGATTGGAAGAAGACTCATCAACAACTGTGTTATGAAGATGACACAACCCTGCCTGATGAAACTGCTGGGACCTGAAGCACTTACTGCAGAGAGTCAAGGACTTCAGCCTTCAATAGGGATTGAGGCTTAATATCAAGAAGGCAAAGATTGAGATTGTTCACAGTTTTAGTTTGTTTGGCTCCACAATCAACACTCTTGGTACAAGCAGCCAAGAAATTAAAAGACACACTGCATAGGAAAAGTCTGTGGTTAGAGACCTCTCTATAGAGGTCTCTTCTTACTGAAGAGCAACTATGTCAGTCTGGAGACTAATGTGTGCCTGATACATGCCGTGGTCTTTGCAATCGCTATGTGTCAGAGAGTTAGCCAATGACTAGGGATGATAGAGGGAGAATTGATGCCTTTGAGTTGTGGTGTTGGAGAAGAGTGTTGAATATACCATGGACTGCTATAAGAATGAAATGGTTTGTCCTGGAGAGGGTGAAGCCAGGCTGCTCCTTGGAGGCAAAAATTTTGAAGCTTTGTCTGACATACTTTGGTCATGTTGCAAGGAGGGACGAGTCCTTGGAGAGGGACGTCATGCTTGAGAGGGTGGAGGGACAGCAAAGGAGAGGAACACCCTTGATGAGATGGATTGATTTAGTGACTGGGGTAATGGGCTAAGTGTGTTGGAGACAGTGAAATTGGTACAGGATAGGGCTGTTGTACATACGGTCGCTATGAGTCGTAGGCAACTTGACGGCACATAACAACAACAGTGCAAATGGTTAATGTGCTCACAGTTGCTAACCAAAAGCTTTGGTGGTTCAAATCCACCCAGAGGAACCTGGGATGAAGGGCCTTGTGATCTGCTTTGGAAAGATCAGTTGAGAATTCTATGGAGCACAGTTCCACTAAGACATTCCTGAGGGCACCCTGAGTTAGACTTGGCTTCCTAGTTCACTGTGAGGGCACCATGCTCTCATGGGGGCAGGTGCAAGGGAAAAAGAGTGATTTTAGAAAAGGTTTGAGCCAGAGCCCCAGCCTTGAGGAGATGAACTTGTACTTCCTGAGTGCCAGGGAGGGAATGGCTTAGGGCACACCTGAAGGACAAGAGAGAACTAGGATGGGCGTGTTGAATGGTGGGTAGGGAGAACAGGAACAGTGATGAGCCTAGCGGATGGAGGGGTGCAGGCAAGGGAGGCCAGGGAGCAAGGTGAGGTTGGAGGTTGGGGCCAGGCTGGTCAAGCACCTTCAGATAAGTGGTTTGGGCCTCACTGTCAGCTCCCAGACGACCTTGCAGCTTGTCATGCAGAAGAGGGGCGAGACAGATGTGTGTGGTTCTGAGCTGCCTGGCCAAGCCAGGCCTGTCCAAGAAAGGCTGATATTTAAGTTGAGCGTTAAAGGATTATTAGTGGTTTGCCTGGCAGGGGCTGGGGGAGGGGAGAAGTGGGAGTGCATCTCAGAAAGCGGGAACAACAAATGCTGTCTCAATAAATGAGTGTTTCATAGAGATAGCCACTCAGTTGGGGGTGTGCCCTAAGGACACAATCTTCTGACCATTTAAATGGCAAACAGTTTCTACCAGGCACTCTGCTAAGTGCTGTGTAGACTTACCTCAAAAGAGTCCTGGTGCTTCTGTGGTGAAGTGCTCAGCTGTTAATCTAAAAATTGGTGGTTCAAACGTACCAGCCACTCTACAGGATAAAGTCACGGTGAGCTGTTTCTGTAAAAGCTTACAGCCTTGGGAACTTTATACAGCAGTTCTATGCTGTCCTCTAGCAGAATCTGGCCTTTCCTCTCCTCATAGGCTGTGCTGACAAAAGTCGACATCCAGATCACACCAGTGCAGGCACAGCTTTCACAACTATAAGCAAGTCAGCAGTGACTCGCTGGCAATGGTTTAGGCTTTGGTTCTGACACTGATGTCATTTAATCCTCATTTAAAAAACCTGATGAGAAGAGATATTTTATTAGCTACCTTTTTTTCTAGTTGAGGAAAACTTTTCTTCCTGTTCCCCAAGCAGGCCAGGTCAAGTTCACTGTGGCCTCCGGGCGTTTGCACAACCTGCAGAAAGCTGTCTTGCCTTTTTCAAAGAAGCATCCGCACATTGCAGGCCTAGCTCAGATGCTGTTTCTGCAAGATCATCCTTGATCTCTGGTCCAGGCCCAGCTTTACCCCTTCATTTCATCCTTGTTGTGTTGTGAAACATTTACCCTTCACTCAGAGTAATTGGTTTTGTTTGTTGACATGTTTATGATTTGACTCCCTGTGTAGAAGGTGAGACTCACAAGAGAACTCATCTGCCTTGCTCAGTCCA